CCCCGCCCCGTCCCCCCTCCCCGCCCTGAACGTTCAGTGTAGTTGACTACACTCCCAGCCACCCGGCCCTTCGACTAACCCTTCCAACAGCCAGCCCGTACACCCTGCAGCCTTATCACATTAGCATTGATGGATACAACCACAACAGCCACGTTGGCAAGTTAGGGGTCCAGGATTTGCTGACGGCTGCAACTAGCTGATCGCGGTTTGCTGTTTTGCCATGGCGGTGCTGGTACGGTGGTATGTAGCGATGGTGGTGGTGGGAACCGAGGCCGAGGGCCAACTCCAACTCCTCCCAACATTTCCCCCTTCCCTTCTCCGTAACACAGGCAAGCAGCCACTTGGGGAAGCTAATTAGCCAGGGGGGGTTCTATCTAAAATTAGGCCCCCGCCATCCGGAAGTCGGTGGCTGGCGTACGGATACATGTCTACGTTTCCACGGATACATGCATAGACCTTCATTTACGGCGGGGGGGTCGTACCGTCCCCTGTTTGCATGACATCCCACTGTTGCCATGCATGGCAGTTTACAACGGTATATATATATATATACATATATATACAAGTTAATCAATTTAATCAATCAACCAATATATTCATAAATTTGTGATAAATTGATTTAAAATGATTAACTTGTGGTACATTGATTAAATACTGCGATGGATGTTTTGCAAACACCATCTTGGCACCATATACGACATATTTTAGGGGCTGATCTGCTTTTTACGGGAGCGAGTCTATCACCGGAGCGAGCCTCACACGCAGACATACACACGCACGTACAGATAACACACATACACACATACATACATAAGCACGCACACACACACCAACCTTGAGATGCCTGGCTGCGGCGGTCAGCAGGATGTCGTACAAGGCACCGCTGCTACCACCCACCGCATTCCGTACGCATTTGGCCACCTACGGCTCACACACGCACAGAATGTCAGCAGCAGCAACGACATTTGACTAAAACCGCCGTGAACGGAAATCGGCAGTTGCAGCAGTAGCAGCAGCAGTAACAGAAGTAAGGCAGTAGTACTTGTTGGTACGTCATTTGTAATTGTAACAATGAGAGCGGTATAAAGCTGATCGCATTTCACCTCTGAAAGTGCTTTTAAGCGACAGTATCAGCGCCATGAACAAGAAAGCGAAGTTGCAGCATTACGACGTTGTACGACGAACAAACCCAGGACGACAAAGAAACCCAGGTCAAACTCGGCAAGAGGACTCTCAAGCCCAACCACAAAAAACTTCATTCGCACTCCCCCCTTTCCCCCCCCCCCACACACACACACAGTCCCTTTGTCCCCCTCATACCGCTGGAACCCCATGTCTGTGCCGTACCTGCAATGCAGCTACTGCCGGGGCGTATGCGGCAATACCCCCCTCCCCTCCCCCCTCCGGTAGCTCCCGGAGGAGGGCCGCGGCGGCCGCAGCCACAGTGGTCCCGCAGTCTCCGTCACCGACCTGCGGATGCCCCCGGGTGGTGTGGGGGGGGGGGTTGGGGGGGGGGGGTGGGTTGGGGGTAGGTTGGGGGTAGGGGAAAAGACGAACCACGAACGAGTGAAGCTGCTGCCAAGTGTACCAGACGTAGAACTGACCAGTAGGCGTTCTTGAAGGCGGCGACCTCGGGGTATATAATGATGACGACCGCGGAAACCTACCTACCTAGCCGCCAAGGCTAAAAAAGCGCGGAAGAAAAGCAGTAATGCCAAGCCGTAAAGAAGTAAAAGGTAGGTGTTGTGGCGGCGGAAAAGTAGTAACAAACTGATAACGTGAGCTGGAATAGAGTTTGCCGCCGGCCTAGCGGCGGCATTGACGAGGTTTGGCGAAGAACTGGCTGATTAGCTGGTAATAAAAAGCTGGTGATATGCAAGTGCTCCTCCCACCCCCCCCCCAAAAAACGCGCGACCGACCCGACCGACCCGACTATCCTAGTCCGACTAGCCGAACGACGCAACGCGATACACCGACC